ATGGCTTGCCCTGACCTTCACCCAACTGTCTCTGTGCCATGCCACGTGTGTGTGGGGGCAGGGAAGCAGGTCCTCACTGTTGATCAGCAGGCTGTGGACCAGTCCATCAGGATGCCATTCTTGTTCCCCGTGGCCCTTGCCTGAGCCACTGCAGTCATTGCTGCATCTCTTGGCATGCTACTCTGACTTATCTTTGGCCAGGCCTCCCTGCCTATGTCATTTTCTTGTGCTCTTGTTAGATGCCGCACAGAGTGAGGTTTGAAGGTGAAGAGCCTGATCCTTCTGACAGAGGCAGTTTACCTGGCTCCACTTGGTCGTTGGGAACGGCCCTGTTGGTCCTCTGAAGGCAGGAGGGGGGAAGGAGGCACCAACCAGTTGGAGGGAGTGATTCAGAGGCAGCGAGTGAGCAGCAGAACGGAGCAGGCCAGAACTCTCAAAAGCGCTATCAGCAGATGGGCTGTGAGTGCCTAGAAAGCTTCTGTGCTTTGTAGCCAGCACCAGTGCCAAATCCACAACCCATTCATTTCCTGTGTTTCAGCATTACCAGGTGGTTAGACGAGGGGAAAGGTGGATGCACCAAGTGTGATCTGGGACGACTTCCACTGGCTTTCTTAGAGAGGATGGGAAGCTCTTGGCTTTGGTTTGAAGAGGGCGCTTTCCCTTTGCCTCACACTTCACAGGTCCTTCCTTCCCGGGACTCAGGTGTGCCCTGGGACTCCAAGTGCACATGGGAAGTGCTAGCCCTGCTCCACACACGTGGATCTGCCCAGGCTGCAGGTGGGAGGACCTGGCAGGATACACACTCAGGCTGGTGGAGGCAATCCCGGGGACACACTGTTTTCTTAGCTGTTTCTAGGCAGGCCAAGGTCGTAGCAGGAGGCCCAGGCTGAGTGACTGGTGAGCAGGGGCAAGTGGGCAGGTGTGAGGTGTAGGTACACTGGTCTCATCTGTGCATGCACAGCCTTGTATACCCACACAGCCTGGATTGCACTCCTTGGGCTTGGTCACAGTCTCAGTGTGTACTGGATATCTTTGTAGAGAAGGCGCTTCCATAACTGCAGCTTCCTGTTCTAGGCAGGACTTCATGCTGTTCTCTATTCAGTTCTAGGAAAATCTTGGGTAGTTTGTTACAGCAGAGCTGCCACTTGGCCAAGCTCACAGAGGTCAGTGTTTTATGTGAAATCTTGGTGGTTGCAAAGATTGCCCAATTGTCGTGTCCAGCTAGGTGAGTCTGTGTCAGTGTGAGTCATGAAACACAGTGGTGTTGCCAAACAACCGTGGCGAGGATGCTCCAGGGGTTTGGGGGACCACTGGTGCCTGCCTCCTCCCCAGCGTGACCACCCCCTGCTTTTCTGTACAGAACAGCCCAGGCCACAGTGAGCACCCCCTTGGGCCTTGTGGTGAGTGTGGAAGGACACGCTTCCTGCTGTGGTGAGAAAGATGGCACCTCTCTATGTCCAGCTCTGCACCCCACCGCTGTGCAGCGTTGCTCTTGGTGTCTCAGGCATTTGTCAGGATGTTTGGCCACCTCACAGGTCCACTCTCTAGCTCTTTGTGTGGTCCCTCCAGACTGTTGCCCACACAGCCTCCCCTCCTTGGCCCAGGCCACTCTCTGGGGTCTCCCATCCCTGTGGACTGGTCCCCCTGTATGTGAGGCAATTGTAAAACAGCACCCCCTGTGGGATCACACATGGGAACAGTGACTTTCCACCGTGGCTAAGATAGAATTGGCTGCCCATCACCAGCTTTCCCAGGGACTTCTCATGCTCTGGGGAGAGTCGACCACAGGGGGAACAGTGAGGCCAGTGGTGCCAGCGTAGGAGGCATGCTGGCTTCACAGGGTTTCCATGATGAAGTTGGGTAGAGCAGCTTATGGATGTGCCAGGGCAGTACAGATGTGCAGGTCCAGTGCTGAGAGCAGATGTGAGGTCAGAGAGGCCCACTTGACCACAGCACCCCACCTGTGCCTGCTCCTTCACCCCGTGTGCATCCAGTAGGCACCCTCCAATGAGCCTCAAGCTGAGCTCTCAGTGAGTAGGCATCATATCTATAAAATGCCCAGCATGGGAAGATGTTCCTCAGCTGTCCCCTCCCTTGCCCTGTGGTACCTGGGGCCCCAGTCTCCCCTGACACTGTGTCACTGGCTAGAGAGCCAAGTTCTGTGGGGGCCTCCTCTCTATGCCCTGTGTTCCCTGGCTGCCATCCTGGTTGCCTGGAGGCCAAGTGAGGGGAACAGAGGGAAAGCAGAGGATGGGTCTGTGACAACTCACTGCCTGTTATCTGTAGGCTTGACTGAGTGGGCACATTACTGTCATGGCCTCTTTGGCTGCTGGAGCAGGTAGCACCCTGGGCACAGGAGGCAGAGGTGGGACATAGCTTTCTGGAATGCTCAAAACTCCTGGTCAGATCCTCTGGGATCCTTCTGCCTGCCTTGTCTTTGGCTGTGGGCTGGCTCTGGCCGCCCTGCCCTCAGGAGTGACCGCAGAACCTGCATAGCCCTTACTTCTCAGGCTTCCACGGGCATGCAGGCATTCCACCAGGGCCTGTGCCTATGTGTGAGCCCTGGGTGGAGGTGGGGACAGGTGGGGTGGGAATGTCACTGAGAAAGCCAGACATGCTTCTGTCTGGATGCTCCCTTCTCTACAGATTTTACCAGCTCAGGATTCATTCAAGTTGAGCTCCTCCTGACATATATAGATGCCACTTGGCAAAGATGAACCCCAGCCTCATCTGGCATGATGAGACCTATCGAAGCCCCTCCCTCTGCTGGCCACAGAGCTGTGGGAAGTGGAGAGGAGCATTTTCTCAGGGCCCAAGTGACCTGGCAGGCAGGATGTTGTTTGCCACCACCTGCCCACCTGCCTTGCACCCAGCACTCGCGCAGTGACTGGGATGACAGGCTGTATCCCGAGCTTGTTCCCAGAGCCCTGAAAGTCAGCAGCGGTGAGAAGGTAGCTGAACAAGCAGGGGTGTCAGGGAGGACTCTGCCAGGCCCTGGAAAGGTGTTGGAGCTCCTGAGTGGGCCTGGGTGGGGGCACTCTGGGAGAAGGGCTCTTCACCCATGGGACCTGCCAGGAGTTTGCTGAGGGAGCATATCTCATCTAGATGAAGAAGGGTGCTGGAGGTGGAGGTGGGAGGTGAAGCCAGGAAGGGGAGGGGCCTGCGGGCAGCGGGCCTGGCCTGAGTGGGGGGCGAGGGATTGGAGAGAAAGGCAGTTCCTGATGGTCCCCTCCCCAGGGGCTGGCTTTCCTCTGGTCCTTCCCACCCAATGACTGCGTCTTCGTCGAGGCTGCAGCCCTGGGCTCTGTGCCTACACCTCTGGCACCAGGCTGCCTGGAGACCCATCGGAGGCCTTTCCTCAGACCACAGAGCCCTCCCTGCTACATCTGGAGGGCTGATCTGCCACTCACCTGGGCCAGCTAGGAGAGCGGATCCTGCAGCTGAGTTGGGGGTGGGGGCTCTGTGTATGGCCTCTGAGCATCAGTCGCGAGACCTGCCCTTTGCCAGTGGCCTCACCTAGCGGCCAGGCATGCAGCTTAGGGACGGACGTAGGTAGGCCAAGGCAGACATGATGGCCTCTTCCTCTGACAGTCCAGAGTGGCACATCCCTGGTGGAGCAGCCTTCAGAATAGCCCTTTGAACCAGTGAGGCTCTGGACCAGCGATGGGCTGGTAGGGCTCCTAGCACTGACTGTGGCAGCCTGGGTACCATAGACACCACCAGCAGGCCTTGCTTGGAGCATTCTTATGTCTAGAGAGACCAGCTTCTCTGGGATGAGGGCGCCTGTGTCTTCTGTGCTGGACTATGATCAGGTGTCAGGCGCTGGGAACCCTGTCAGCTGTACCTGGTGGGTGGGACACCTGGGGTACTGGGAGGCCCAGCAGGCTTCCTTTCTCCCCGAACTGTGTTCTGGATGATTCTGCTGACTCATCATCGGCTGCATCTAATCTGCTGTTAAATCCACTGCTGAGTTTTAGTTCCCAGTTATCTATAGCTGCCACTCCTGAAAGTTCTTTCCAGTGCTTTGCGAGACTCCTTTTCCCCACAGATATTCCCAAGCTCCCTGTTTCCCCAGAGCATTGTTGGTTTACGAGACATGTGGGGATCTCTTTCTGGTGGTTCTCCTGCACGGTGCTTTGGCTTGTTATGTGGTTCTTTCTGACTGTGTACTGCTCTGTGTCCTAGAAATTATTCGTGAGACTTCTTGGAGGCCTGGGAGGAAGATGAGAACTTTGGTTTGCCAGGTGCCCAGGGGCACTACCAGTTAGGGAACCCCTCAAACTAAGTCTTGGCTGGAGGGTTCCAGGACCCTTGGTGTGGCCCTGGCTCCACTCTTGGAGCTTCTCAGGGACTCCTTCCACTTACTTGTAGGCTGTCCCTGCGGCCCCTGGTGGCTGTGGATATAGCCCACCCTCACCCTGCAAGTGTGGCTTTTTGCCATTCCAGCTTCCCCTGGAGGGTTTCCTACTAGGTCCTGTCTTGAGGCAGCCTTGGGTTTTGTCTTCTGTCCTTCTCATTCCCAAGGCCACCAGAGCCCGGTTTGCTCAGATGAATCAATGCCCCAGGGGTGTGCAGAGCTCTGTGGGCCACTGGCTGCACTTGGGCTGTCATGGGTGGAAGGCATGTGCCCAGGGCCTGCCATAGACACTGCTGCAGAGCATCTCCGAGCCAGTCGGATGTGACATGGCCCTACCTTGAGTGGCTCAGGGCTGGAATTGGTACTGTTGCCAGGGGAGGGAATGGACAATCTGGGGGGGGCGGGCACGGAGCAAGCTGTGTAGCCTTGCTCCCCGGCAGGTGTGGGCCAGCTTGCCTGCCCACTGCCCCAGCTGTGCAGTGGTTCTTGCTCTTGCTGCTGCTTTCCCCTTTAGTGATCCAGGGCCAATGAGCACTGCAGGTGTCAGGGTGATCTGGCCAGTGCCAATGAGTGTGTTTAGGGAGATGGCTGTGTAGTGCTGGCAAGCGTCATGGTGTTGGGCACATGACTCTGGCATGTCTAGCAAGGGTCAGGGCATTACAGAGCTGATTCTGTCTAGGTCAGAGAACATCGCAGGTTCAGGGAAGGTGGTTCTGTTGTCCACTATTTAGTCAACTCATTTTTTTCCTTTTCCCACAGACTGTGTGACCCTGTGTGAGCAAAGCCACCCTCAGGGACCCATGTGCATCATCTTCTTTAAGTTCGATCCTCGCCCCGTTTCCAAAAATGCATACAGGTAACCCCCTTACTGTGAGTCTGCCATCATCTGCTCAGCCTCAGGTGCCCCACAGCCCTCGGTACCCATGTAGGTGTCCCAAGCAGGAGAGGCATGCTGCTGCTGCCCGGGCTGGGAGAAGGCAGCCCCAGGACGAGCTGCACAGGCCTGGCAGTGCCCTCTCAGACAGTGGTCACTCAGCATGGGGTGCTGGAGGAAATACATCTCGGTGGTCAAGACCTTGAGCTGATGTACAAATATACTAAGACTCAGCTTCTAACAGTAGCTGTATGGGCAGGACAGAGGAGCAAAGTGGGTCCAGGCAGGGGCACAGCCCTATGGGCTCTGATAGAGGACCAGGGGGCAACAGAACTGGGATGACCGTGAGCGAGAGCCCCACTTGCACTGGCTGGCCTGTGTTTCTGGAAGAAGTCTTGGTAATGTTGTCAGGGTGCAGGGGGATGGGGGAAGCTGGGGGTACCAGCCAGAAGAGGTGGGCGACTGAGGACCCCCTCCTCTCCAGAGTCTAGACTCTGGAGGGCCCACCTGTGGCTGGCTGGCATGCAACCTGAAAGGCAGACCCCACCTGTACCAGGGCCAACCCAGCACCCAAAGGACAGACAGGGAGGCAGAGGGAGCCTGGGAGTTCATGCCAGGGCTGTGTCTGGTGGGATTCCATTGATGCTGTTTCCTTGATTGCAAAGGGATATGTGTTCTTTGAAAAAAGCACACCTCATACCCCACAAGATGTACAAAGTAAGCCATGAGCTCACAGACCTACCCTCCCCAGAAGGTGCACAGACCCACGCTTGACAGCCGGGTGGGGAGTGCTCATTGGTCATGAATAATTAATGGTTTCAGTGATTAGAACAAAACAAAGCCATGGCTGACTTGCTGTCTTCAGAACCCCTCTCTGTGGTGGGCACATCCCCTGAGCATCTTTGATAGTTCACATTGTACCACAAGCAAATATTCATGAAATCAATGAGACAATACAAATATTATTTTTGAAGACTTTTTAGGATATGAGCACTGAGTAGACTAATTTGGTTTCAGACCCATTGTAACCACAGGCCACTAAGCCCCAGACCCTGGTCCCTTGTCCTCTGTTCACCTGTGCACCCACCCTGCTATTCAGAGGGTCCTCCAATGATCAATTCTTAGACCCAGAGGTGTCCCACTCAGTCATCATCTACGTTCTTATTTAAATGGCAAAGCTGACTGGAAACTTATATCTCACCTCTAAACCAGGGCTGTGAAAACTATGACATTTTTTCTAATTGCCAAAGAAATACTTGTTTGACTCACAATGAAAAAATTAGTGAAACAGAGAAGCTCTCACCCATTCCCTCTCCCAAACAGCCCAAATTCAGGGCAGCAGCCCTCAGAGACCCTGTGTACTGCAGTGGTCCACGCGCATCCCCGAGCCACCCTGGTGAGCATGCTTACAATTCTGGTGAGCATGCTTACTCGCTGGGGTTTCTTCAGGGGGAGGGACAGATGGACAGAAGAAGGGGCACCTTCCTGTTGCCTGGGTACCCGGGACATGCTTGGTAGAATTCATTCTCAGGGCCCCTACCTGCCTGGCCCCTGGTCTTACTTGCTCAGCCCTGTTTCAGGAGGACAATGGGTGTGCAGGGCAAGGCTCCACCTCCTGGCCCTGATCAGCGTGGATATGAGTCTTAGCCCATCTTCTGCCTATGTCCTCTGCAGGGCCCTGGGGCACTGTCTGGCCCAGGGCTCCCCGGAAGCTGTCCCTCTGGAGCTGCTGCCAGCCTTTGTCCCTTGTGGGTTCCTATTCTCTTTGGGACTTGCCCATGTTGTTACTGAGGCAAATTTTCTTTGTTAACTAGAGAGAAAAAAAATATGGCTTTTCTGTTTTGACCTGAAAGTTTCAGTCCTGCTTTCTTCTTCAGGCTCATCCTGGCAGCCAACAGGGATGAATTCTACAGCAGACCATCCAAGGTAGCAGACTTCTGGGGCAACAACAACGAGATCCTCAGCGGTGAGTCTTTCCTCATGGTGGGTGGCAGGAAGTGTGAGCCCCAGATGGCTCTAACCATTATGGGTGCTGCTTCCTGTGTAAATTCAGAATGAATGGACACTGATGGGTCTAATTGGGGGTGGGCTCTAGAGTCTCCATCCAGGGCCAGTGTTGGGCTGACCAGCCCCAGAATTGTCCAACCAGCACTGCCCCTGTGGCTTCATGTATCATGGCTCCCCAGCAGAAGTAGCCAGAAGGATCAGTGGTTTTCTTTGGACCCATGTTTCCTGTGGGCATGTGATTGTATTGGTGTGAGGTGCAAGTCCGCACTCTATCACTCTGTGTAGCATCATAGTTTTGTGTGTGTGTGTGTGTGCGTGTCTATGTGTCTGTTGGGGGGACTTGTCAGTGTGTATGGGGTGAGGGATGAGGGGCTGTTGCCCTGGGGAAGACGGGCAGGAGGCACCTCTCCAGGATTTTTGTAGATGAGGACATGGAAGCTTGGATGGAAGGTTAGCCTGCCTGGGCTCCTTTGCCATCCTGGCCACCCGGGCTCCATCCTACCCTGGTACCTGGGCTTGCACCCTGCCCCTGAATCAGTGCCTATCCTGGCTGGGGAGCTCCAGCCACTCTGAATTGTTCATTCTTTGTAGTGTTTTGGAGGAGGCCCCTGGCATGCTGTTAAGGGGCACCCATCTAGTGGAAGGGTGGCCTTGCTGCACCACAGTGCTGGGTGAGCCCAGTGGCTACTAAACCCAGCTTAGGGCTGAAGACACTAAAGTCCACAGCCTCCCATTGCACACCCCCTACTGGGGATGGAGCCTGCAACTCACCCATGTGCAAAATGGTAGGCGGGTGTTGCTCCCAGTGTAGTCGTTGAGCCAGTAGTATCAGCATTACTTCGGAACTTGTTAGAAGTTAGGAAAAAATTAGGCGTTATTTCTTCAAATATTTTTTCGGTCTTTCTTCTCAACCTCTTTCCCCCTTTCTGCCTCCAATTGCACATATATTAGATTACTTGAGGTTGTTTCACACTTTGATGATGTTTGGTTCATTTTTTAAAAATCTCTTTTCTCTCTGTTTTATTTTAGGTAGTTTCTTTTGCCATACCCTCAAGTTCACTAATCGTTTCTTCTGCAGTATCTAATCTGCCTTTAATTCCATCCTGTATATTTTTCATCCCACACTTTGTAGTTCTTAGCTTTAGAAATTCAATTTTTATGTCTTCCTTGCCTCCACTTAGCTTTTTTAGCATATAAAATACAGTTTTAATGACTTTGCATGTCCTCGTCTATAAATTATGACATCTGTCTGTGTCAGTTCCAGGTCAGTTTTAATGGATTGATTGAACTCCTATTAGCAGCGGGGCTGTTTTCCTGCCTCTTTGAATGCCTGGTGATATTTTTTAAAAATATGTTTTTATTGATTTCAGAGAGAGGAAGGGGGAGGGAGAGAGAGAAACATTAATGATGAGACAGTCATTGATTGGTTGCCTCCTGCACACCCCCATACTGGGGATCGAGCCGGCAACTCGCCCATGTGCCCTGACCAGGAATCCAACTGTGACCTCCTGGCATGGTAGATCCTTTTGGATTTTCTTCACATACAATCTTGTCATGTACAAATAAAGATAGTTTTGCTTCTTTCTTTTTGATCTTTACATCTTTTGTTGCTTTTATTGTTATAAAAATAAAATTTTAACAATTTAGCTGTTTTTATCCCACTCTTCAAGTAAAATGACCCTCTAGTCTAGGAAGATGCTCTCCTGAGGCTTTAACCTTGGGGTGGGGCCTGGTGGATTGTGTAGCATTGACTGTGGCAGGGCCTGTGCCCTGGGATGGGACTGGTGGATGGGCTGCAGGCCTTGTTGTGCACCAGGCTCCTAATGAAGCTCTCACTCTGAGGGTCCCACGCATTATTCCAGAAGAGGCCAGCCAGCCACCCTTGCAACCAGATCCAGGACGAGGTTCCCGTAATGGAGTTGGTGCTCTGCTCCCAGCCCAGTGCCAACCCAAGTTCTCAGATGCTGTCTAGGCATCAGTTGTCTTGAGGGGCAGGGTATGGGGAGCGCATCTTTCAAGTGTCCTGCTGCCCCACCCTGTGGAGCCTGAGCCCCTGTTCCACAGCCAGGGCTGTGGGACTGAGGTGCGACTCCCCAGCATGCAAGGACAGGGTGGTCTTTGCTGGTGGTGATGCTGGCATTCACCCAGGGCTCGACATGGAGGAAGGCAAGGAAGGAGGCACATGGCTGGGCATCAGCACGCGAGGAAAGCTGGCAGCGCTCACCAACTACCTGCAGCCGCGGCAGGACCCAGACGCCAGGGGCCGAGGTACTTGGAGAGGGACTGGGGCTAGGCTAGCTTAGGGGTGTGGGGGTGGGCCTTGGGGTGTTGGGGGATTTCTTGGGCATGTGCAGAGACAGGAGGAGGAGTATAATGGGGAAGAGGGCCCGTTTCCTGGGCCCTGCAGTCCACTGACTTGAGTCACTGTGGGCACCACCCTCAGCCTGACCCACATGACACCCACAACACTGACTTTTTACCCCCTCAAGGAATGTGCTTCATACTTGTCACCTGGGCACTGTGTCACTCTGACTGTGTGTCATTGTCCCCAACCTGTCCAATGTTTGCTGAGCAGATGCCCCTGGGAGGACAGCTTCGTGGACGCACATTGTCCCTACTGAAGACTTTTCCCCTCATGCTGGGCTTCAATATGGGGGCATAATGGAGGAAAAAAAAAATTTAATCAATGAAAACAGAGTTGTCTATGCTGACCTCCTTGGCTGCCAGGTCAATGAGGTGTAGCCAGCCCATGTGGGGCCATCAGTTTCCCCAGGGAGAGGGGCTGAGCCTGCTGCCTCGGCCATAAGTATCTGTTCCTTGCTCATAGGTGAACTTGTGGCCCACTTTCTGACAACAGACATGGACAGTTTTTCCTACTTGAAGAAGGTCTCCACAGAGGGTCATCTGTACAACGGCTTCAACCTCTTAGCAGCTGACCTGAGGTGAGTCTGCCTGCTAGGGGACAGCAGCCCACTGAGTGCTATGATAGGACTGGGCCGTGGACTCAGCAGGGCGTGGAGTTCCTGCCCCGCTACTCAGCTTGGGGTGCTGTGGCATCTGTGGCAGCCTCTCCAGGGACATCACTCCTGGTGGGCTTGGTAAGCATCCTGAGGGCCAATCCCCTCCCAGACCCACTGCTGTGAGGACATGCGACAGTGTGAGGGTTGCTGGCTCCCACCATCAGAGAACTGGAGCAGGACTGCAGGGCACTCTCCTTGCCTACACCTGCCCCTCTGCCCGCAGGTCCTCTCCACCTGTCTGTGGCTAAGGAGTCTCCTGTTTTTGAGCCATACCTCACTTGCACTGCTCTCTGGTGGGCAGAGGTACCCCAGGCTGGAGAAGGAAGGTGTAAGCACAACTGGCTGTGACCCTGGAGCACTCTGGGACCCTATGGTGGTTGGATGTTGCTGAGCTCTGGGGCCCCAAAGCAGCATCTTCAGGAAGCTGGGTCTGAGTAGGCAGCAAGGTTCATCTTGGTTTCTGTGAGGGGCTCAGCGGCTGTGAGTTTCAGGAATCAGGTTGCTGGGATCCTGCAGAGGGCCTTGCCCCTTGGGGAAGTGGCAGTTGGAGCCTTTCCAGAGAGGTACAACAGGGAGCTGATGGCTACCTATGGCTGCATGCTGAGCCTCTCACATGCAGTACTCAGCATATTCTCAGAGCCACCCTCTTGCCTGATGCATCCTAGCTTAGACAGGTGACCTGGCACCACTGCCGGTGGTGTGAGGTGGGTCAGCGGAGTCTTTTAGATGTTGCTGCTCCCAGGCCAATGGTCCATGTGGAGAGCCAGGAATCTCCATGACCCTGCCTGCAAGTCTCTGAGGGGCTGGGGCCCTGACTAGCCCCTGTCCTGACTGCAGCAGGCCTCTGTCCCTTTGCTGGCTGTTGGCAGGGGGATTTGGGAATGGGGCTATGGAGATTGCCCGGCAGCAAGGGGTCTGCACGATCCCAGGCCCCTGTATGACCCTCTGCCCTCCTGTTCATAGCACAGAGAAGGGAGATGTCATCTGCTACTATGGAAACCAGGGGGAGCCTGAACCCATTGCCCTGGTGCCAGGTGAGCCTGCTCTGGTGGGTGGTGACAGGGTGGGGGCTGCTCCTATGGGGACACCTCTGTACTTTTCAGAGACTAAGTCCCTGTCATATTTCTCTTCTGGGACTGCTTTTTGGCTGTTTGTGTACCTTACAGCCTGCACCCGGTCCACATGACAGGTTGCCTTCAGCTTAGGTCACTTCTCCCCAGTGCCGAGCCAGTGACTGCCCTGAGAAAATTAGAAACTAAAAGGCACAAAAGGACAGAGAGCACCACCCCTCCCCCCCAAATTCTATGCATTGGCCCAGAGGCCTTTGTGGAAGCATCTGGAAACCATCTCCGTGATGCCCTCAGTTCTCAGTGCTGGCAACTCTGACTGGAGATGCTTGATTTTTGCTAGAATGTTGCTTGGAAGAAATTCTTTTCACCTACATCCTGTTGTGTCATCCCTGAGCCCATCCTTTCCTGTTTGTGTCTCTGTTTTTTTAAATAATAAAATAGCTGTATTGAGCTATAACTTGCAATGTCATACGGTCTCCCCATTTAAGTGTACCATTTAGTAGATTTTAGTATATTTGCAAAGTTGTGCAGCCATCAATATCACTGCTATTTAACATTTTCATCACCTCAAAAAGAAACTAGACCCACTAGTAGTTACTCTCATTCCCGCTCTTCCCCAGCCCCTGGACACCACCAATCTACTTTCTCTGTGGATTTGCCTATTCTGAACATTTTATATAAACAGAGTCATGCGACGTGTGGCCTTTTGTGTCTGCCTTTTTTCACTTAGCGTGTTTTCGAGATTCACCCATGTTGTAGCATGAATTAGGGCTGAATTCCTTTTTATGGCTGAGTTATATTCCACTGTAGTATATTCTACATTTTGTTTCTGCATTCATCCCTTGATGGACATTTGAGTTATTTCTGCTTTTTGGCTGTTGTGGATAATGCAGCTATGAACATTTGTTACAAGTTTGTGCGTGGACACATTTTCATTTCTCTTCCATGTATACCTAAGAGTGGAATTGCTGGACCATAAAGTAACTGTTTAACCTTTTGAGAAACTGCCAAATTTTTTTCCAAAGCAGCTGCACCATTTTATGAAGTTCCTGTTTCTTCACATCCTCGCTGAAAGTTGTCATTGTCTGTTTTTTTCTTTTATTACAGTCATCTTGGTGTGTGTGAGGTGGTATCTCATTGTGGTTTTGATTTGCATGTCCCTGATGCCTAGTGATATTGAGCAGTTTTTCATGTGTTTAATAGCCATTTGTATATCTTCTTTGAAGAGATGTTTGTTCAGATCCTGAATAGGATTGTTGTATTTTTATTATTGAATTGTAGTTCGTTATATATTCTAGCTACTAGTCCCTTATCAGATATATGATTTGCAAAAATTGTCTACTTTTCTGTCGGTTTTCTTTTCACTTTCTTGTTGGTCAAGAAACTGAAAAACTGACCAACAAGGAGGTTTTGTAGAGCATCATTGTAAATTTTGATGATGTTCATTTTACATTTTTTCTTTTGTTTTTTGTGCTTTTGGTGTCATAGCTAAGAAATCATTGCCTAATCTAAGGTTGTGCAACTTTCCCCCCTATATTTTCTTCTAAGAGTTTTATAATTTTTGCATTTACATTTAGGTCTTTGGGACATTTTGAATTGATTTTTGTGTATGGTGTGAGGTAAGGGTTCCACTCCATTCTTTGCATATGGCTACCCTGATGAGTGGCCTTTCCTATGATTCCTGATCAATAAAGCACAGTGATACCCTGGGCTGGTTGCGTGGCTATGGGGGCCTGGCAGAGCTAGGGCTATCTTCCTTGGAAGTGGCTGAAGTCACACCATACTCAGTCAAGATCCTGCCTAGAACGTCTGGCAACAGGAGAGGGTGGCTGTTCCCTGACCTCAAGAGTATCTGTCTGGTTGCATGACTCTGAGCTCACCTGCCCCTGCTGCCTGCCGTAGCCTCTCCATCTCAAGGCCATGCCTCTCTTTTTTTTTTTTTTTTT